AGAGACAGGCGCGACCACTGTGTCGGCTACTGTAGCAGGCGTAGATAGTGGCGTCTCCAATCCAAGCGATCCAAGCTGTCTTGAGCTGCCGCGAAAATTCGATCTTCCAGCCATTTCCGAGTCAAACTGGTGAAAATTTAATAATTCCCTCACCAACCTAAATTGATCTGAAGCAACCACTAGCTATTCAACGAGATTTTTTCGTCGTAACGCTCTTCTAATTATTCTGAAGAGGGCTGAAACATTAACAGTGTCCTTCTTTGGCGACGAACCAAACCACGGTGGGTCGACTTGTCCACCATTTCCATCGACCAGATCGCGGACGCATACTTCTGCAATGTCCTCAATCACTCCTCATGAACTCTCTTGATTTACAAAACCAGTCGTTTGATACAGTGTACCAAATTTTGCCTGGATCGAGCGACAGTCCGAAAATTCGGCGAAGAGGATATAGCTTCGCCGCCATATCTCGTTCGCGCCAATTTTTGTATTACGCGCGACGAAGCACTTTGTTATATATTAAGTGTAATTAGAGTCGACAACAAACCATTTATGGATACATGATCTGGTTTTCATTTGTACAGCGCACTCAAGATATACTTAGCACCTTCATCCACCGCAAACTGTGCAGTCATGACAGATCTGTAATTTTGCTAATTCGATTTTCTTGACTACCCCGGAAATTAGAACCCATACCCAGCTGTGAATTTCAAAGTCGCATAAAGCTCGTCATGTAACAGAGTTCAATGTACGGATAAGTGCACGATAGTATCATATGATTTAAAGTACCAGAGTTTTTCAAGTTTTCTTAATATTGAAATTGTAATTTCATGCCAGTGTGTTTCCAAAATTCAAGCTATGTGGAGAGGTGAACTTGACATCATCATGTAAATGGCCGGTCAACTTGACATGCTATCGAAATTTGTCCTTCAGCTGAAATCTTACTTAGGAACGCAATTTTGTTAGTGTTTATCAATATACATAAAAATATCCAAGATGTTGTCTATTTTGGTGAGCCACAGGGTGTATCAATCAGCACAACCTACTTCGTATAAATCTGACTGGTTTCTAGATAAGTATGATCTGTTGTCGTTGAGCCTAGTTTACATTTGTACTTGAGTTTTGCACTAGTGATAAGTGTAAAAGCCACCTAGCTGTTTTAACCAATGAAGAATATAGTTTTTCATATATATCAGTACTGTGATGAATTAACCAAAATGAAACAAGTAACTGATAAGGAGTTGTAGTCACCAAATAAAGGGCTAATACACATGTATCAGTACCAAGTTTAAATATCAATGCTTAGCTGAACTATTATAAAGAGAATTCAGAAGAGTGCCAAGCTTACAGGAAGTCATGAAAAAAATTAATGTTAAGGTCTGAATAATTCTGTGTATTACTTGGAAAACATAACACTAATCACATTTCGGTTATAACATTAAACTACTAGGCCCCTGTTCGTATTTTATTGAATCGGTTTAGCTATGTAAACATGAAAGAATAATTTCGTATGAAGAGGCCGTCATTTTAAATTTCCAGACAACAGCAGTGTTTGATTTTCAAATAATAATAACCGTCTTTATTAATTCACGAGATGAAAGACTACATATCTTACGCTACAAAAAATTTCAAAACAAAAGATACCAGTTACACAACTAGGTTCGATAAGGATAGGAGTTCTAAACTCGACCCGTTTTTAATTTAATTTCGGCCGGAGATTAGCTTTGTGTCTTAGATTAAATTCCGTGACCTTCAGTTTAGGCATAAGGTTTCTCAGAGGATGTTTCTCTTGCATGATATTTTATCTTGTCGATAATTTTCTTACCCTCTTTTACTAATAGATCATAGATGTCCACATGTGACACTGGTTCAGGAAACACTGTACAGTCAAAAGCTCTGCATTAACAGCACTGTAGACTGATAGACCATATGTCAAATTATAACTATACTTTGAAAGAGATAGTCCAATTCTAACTGGGTATAACCTTTCTTCCTCAACAATCTCACTCTAAAAAGGCATTAGTTTTAATTAGTTTATTCCGTGCATGTGCAGTAAAATCGGCAATCTGGTCATTGCTCTCAGAGATCCCGTAAGTGCTTGGATCCAGGATTTTTGCAAATTTACATGTGTAAAAAGGCCAGCTTATAACTAAATATAAAATTGTGTTAAAGCACCGCCTCCCGGTTATCTCAATTGGTTAGAGCGCTGGACTGTTGTGCGGGAGGTCGAGGTCGATGGTTCGAGCCCCGGCCGCATAAACACTCAAGGTCTTAAAATAACGAAGGAGAATGCACTACCCTTCATTAATAAGAAATGGATAGACATCCTAGTCTTCTCGTTTAAGGACGAATAAACCGTAGGTCCCGTCTCCTGCATCTATTAATTAGTTAATTTGTTAGGCAGGGGACGTTAAAGAACCCACTCACGAGATTACTTTGATGTGGTCTGGCCTGTTTACTGGGAATTGGATGGAGCGGGCTCTTCAAATAAGTTTCCTTCGATTGTTTGTAAACTCCTGATGCAGTCTGGCCAAAGCCTCCCCGAAAAGTGTTGTGATTCGCATTTGATCATATCCACACGTTAATTTGCGTAATATAAATATTAAATTATTATCATTATTATTATCATTATTATTATTAAAACAGAAATTTAAAGCCGACATACATCAGTCTCAGCAAACTCTTTGGAGACATCAATTTTACACCGCGTATAACAAAACAGTGCTTTAAAACGTGTTTAAGGTTTGTTAGTTGTGAATCTGTTGGTTATGTATTGAGTGAACACAGGTCAAAGAAATATGTTATAAACATTTAACAAAATATAAAATAAAAATGTGTGAACACGCGTAACGTGTGTTTAAACTAAAAGGCTTGGGATGTTATTCCATCCTTACCAAAGCTAAGGGGGACGTCATTTTTGTACTCTTTTGTGGAAACTGTTGCATTGTTAGAGTAAAATTCTCGATTCTCTAACACTCAAGTTGATTTGGTCTTTATTCTATTTTCTCTTTTTAAAAGACTTTACAGTATGACTGGCACAGGTCTCTTGGGATGTTTGTTCATCAGCTTTACATGCGGCAGGTTACTCAGCTGTCCATGTCACACCTAACCAATGGATCGCGTTAAGTTACGTAAAACGGATCTTGCATACAAAATATGATGCTTAACTTCGACATGGTGAATCTTTCTAAAATTACTTCCTTCCTAAAATCTCATATATTCCCAAGATATCAAAAAAAAAAAAGGAACAAGACTGACAATACAAATTTGCAAAGATCTTACTGACAATATAAATTTGCAAAGATCCTACTGACAAAATTAGAATTACAATTAGGACGAGACCTACAAAGAAATAATCTTTGAAGACTGTGTCATGGAAGTGTGAGGAATTTATTTATTAAATGTAAATTATTTTTTGTATTCTCTTAGGATCAGTGTAGTTCGTGATTATTTGTATCTGTTACGTAATTTTTATTCTTCACTTGTGTAAACTGTTGTGTAATTAACCTTTATTGTGTATATCAAATAGTTTTCTTCATTCTTTTCGGGCACCTTGCGTCCATGTGTATTTAAGGATTTGGGTGGTTTGGTACGGTGTGGTTTTTTTTT